CTAAATTGGGAGAAGAAAGGGGTAAATGTTGAATATATTGACTGAGATATCTTGTAACCTGTGAATACAGCTCAATGTACAGAACAATATGCCTTTTTTTCTCTTATCTCACACAAAAAGTTTAATATTTGCTCTCTTATTTCCTTAATAAGGGTGAGTGTTACAGCCTTAAAAGTTTCCGAATGGAATCATGTATTGGGTCTCTGTATCCTGTGGTCATCAGCTACGAGCCACTACTCATGTCAGGGTCTGACTACATTGTACTGATGCAATTGGATTATAGCACCAGGTGGGAGGATCAGTTTTCACTGGAGAAAGAAGAATGAACTACTCTAATGCACCAGGACAGTGGAGGGCTGAGCACAACAAATAAGTAGCCGTCCTTTGAAGATTTTTTTCTTCCAGTGATTAAACTCCCAGCTCAAGTGCTTATGCTGTACTTATAGTGAAAGCCACTAGCTTGAAACAAATTTCTAATTTACATTTCTTCTTTCTTCCCCACCCTGCCACAGACACTCAATTTCCAATGCACTATTTTAGAAAGGAAAACTTTAACAACAAGGCTTATTCTATTATGGAGTTATTATGCTGTTTAAAAAAAATCACTGAAACATATTCTGGAACATTTTGTAATGCTACATTACTGTTACCTGATGGTCTCTACTAAGTTTACTGTGACTTCACATTAACAGTGATTGCTAAACATATAATTGGTGGAAAAGAAAATTGCACATGATATTGTCAATGTGTATTAAATGCTAAGAGAAGCTTTATACAAGCATTCTCTGGCACTAATTTTTCAGTACCCTGACCCATGTTACAGCAAAGTAATCCCCTGTGGTTACAGTACTGAGTGAATACTGGAAAACTGTAAATTGTTAACATTAATTTTATCTGTTTTCACATCTCAATTTGCAATGCAAGGGTAAAATATGAAGTTACAAAGTAAATATTTAATTGCTTTTTTTCATACTATAACACCCAGGTCTTGTTGGTAAAATCAGAACTCTATTTACATTCTTATTTATTGAGATCTCTCTGTACAAAAATTATACTAAAATACTAGCTTTAATGGTATAAATTCATACCTCTAAACTAAGAAACACACAAAATAAAATTCAAACTGGTGCTACCCTATCCCCTTTTTTAAAAGTTACATATTTTACAGTAGCTTTTCTAGGTCTGCAAAAGTTTGAAGGGCTCCCTCTCTTTTCCTCAGAATCTAGACTGGCAGCTGCAAGTATAAGAAAGTTCCTTCTGAATGTTACTGTTGGTTGGTTACAACTGAGAAAAACACAACGAAAAGTGCACATCCATCAGTTGCATGAATGTGCAGTGTGGCATTAAGCAATGCCCCTTTGTCCTGAAAGCATGAGGGAAATAGTGGGGAAAGGTGCTTTAAAATGCTTTAACAATGCCCTTAAATGCTTTAAAAATACCTGTTCTAAAGAACCCGAAGAGGTTCTGCAGGTCATCAGGTTTTTTGTTTGATATTCAAACAGGTAAGTCTTATTTTAATGACCTGCATAATGCTGATGTTACCTGCCCTGCACAGCAGTTCAGGTACCAAAAAGTAAGACCTGTTACAAAGATATCAGAAGAGAAAATGGAAATGTTATAAGCCAGTCATTTTGACTTTGAGGTTCTGCAACAGATCAGTAATCTCTGGTTTGCTCTTGGGCTTACTTGTTTCCTATGATATGACTGTAATGTGTGCTACATTTTGTTGGATCTCCTCATGCACAGAATTGAAGTAATTTCTCAGCTGTGGTTTTGGTGACTTCACGACCAAATGCTACAAGAAGTGAACACAGTGGTTCGGTAAAGTTCTGTATGGCTGCACGAAGACATGGCATGCTGTTAAAAGAAATGCCAATACCAAAGTTGTATGGTCAAATAAAAGGATAAAATAAAGGGCTACTTAGTCATGACATTACTTTAAATATTCTGTACTGCACATATTTTTGAACAGGAGGTCAGTGCTTGATGAAGGAATCTGCAACTTTCCTGTAATCAATTGATTTTGCTGCTGAGATGACAAACTTTCTGGTTCATTGTGTGCCTGTTGTCAAATGTATTTAAAATGTCAGATGTGGGTCATGCCAGCTAAATTCCTGTGGCCATCAAACTCGGCATCAATGGCAACTGACTTGCCAGTCAGTTTTGATGACTGAAGAAAGAACAAAAGGGAGGGATGGCAGCCATATGCACAGCACCCAGAACCACTGCAGTTACTGCAAGCTAGATCTTCCTTACTCCAATACCTGCATGCATGGATGGAGGTCTGTCCTGTCCAAAGACCCTCAAATGAGAACTTAAAAGCTGTTCTGTCAAATTAGTCACCTGATGAAGAAGCTGAGATCAGATAATAGTGCTTAATGAATATATTAAACCACAAACAGGTGCTTGGCAAGTTTCTACATTATTAATGTGTATTGTGCCTTACTGTTCTCTTAGAAGTCTGAAATAATATTTTTTGAACATTACATGCTCTCTAAGTGCAATCAGGTAAACTGATACTATTGCCCTCTGGCATTTGGTAAATCTTAAGGTTGTACACCATTCTCACCACTTAAAAGATCATCTAAGGTACAGACCTTCATCGCAACATATCCATGGAATTAAAAAATTACCACTAAATATGCTGCTTAGTCACTGAATAGAAATTAGATAGGTCTTCATGAAGGACTCCCAGTGATCTGTGAGGGATTATGCCTTCCTCTGATGCTTCCCTCTGAAACACTTACTACAAATTTCATAGTAATTTCAATCTGATCAAGACATCATTATTTGCAAGGAGTAAATTAAAGCCCAGATTTGTTTTAAGTGGAAAAGCCAATCTCAGTCCTTGGAGTAAGTACTTTGTTATCTAATGAAAAAACAAAGAAGTTAGAGTTTCTTTCACTGGAGAGCTGCATGTCAGTAACCCAACTATGCATGGACTGCAATAGCACTTGAAGTGCTAGTTGGAGGCACAGACTCATCCACCATACTACAGTAATTCCAGGAACATTCAGAAAGAAAAATACACCTAGAAAGCATATTGCTCCCCCACCACTTCTTTCTCCAATAGATTCCCACTTGTGACCATAAATAAAGAGGCATAAATTTTATTCATGTCTGTCAAATTATGAGGAAAAAAACAAAACAAAAGTTGGTGCTGCTTTACCTTTACACACCGAGGGGAAGAAAAGATGCAACACGTTTATTATCCCACATCAGCACTATTAACCCAACCATGGCAATGCACAGGGGAAGTCAGGACCATTTGAACCATTGAGAACCACAACAATTAAAGCAGGACAAAAAATTACATCAAATCCTAGTATGCTAGCACTATCTGCATACTGTGGATTTGATATTCCTTATTTTCAGCTTTCAACTGATGTGTGGTGTTTCTGAACATTTAGTCTGCTGCTTTGCTTCATTCAGCGAGCACTACAGTAAACCCTGGGCATCAGACACCAGAACTAAGTATCTGGTTATCTCTTAGACTGAATAAAAAGAACTCTTGCACAACTTCAGAGCTTCTTTTAGGTTCTTGTTTCCATCGGATACAGATCATCTTGTCTGTAGATAAGAAAATGCTGGTGCTTTTCATGAGCAGAAACCATCACTCTCCCAAGCTGTGAAAGATAAATTGCAATACTCCAAAGTACAAATTTGCTGTGAATATTTATTTTTTAATGCATAGCATAAATAATCCAAACTGCCCTTACCAGTTTGAAAAAGGAAAAAAAAAGATGCAGCTGATGAGTTCATGAGCATGTCAAGAAAGCAGCAGGGCCCTTATTGAAAACACGTGTGGGTACTGTAGGTGCCCAGCAGCAGCACGGCCAGTAGTGCCACTCCCCAACTTGCTGCCCTGCTCAGCAACTGCCCCAGCCACGATACCCTCTCACAAGGCAGCTGGGACCAGCTGGGTGATGAGAACCAGAACAGAGAGACGTGGAATTGGCCTTTTTAAGTGTAGAAAGAAGTTTAGCAGATGCTTCAATATGTGTGTCAAACACATGCCATGGTCCACACCAGTTGAAGATTAAAAGTGTAAGGGAATGTCATAATTTGGAATTAATTCTAAACAAAACAAAAAAAAACCCATGAAAACATGAAACAATTACTTTCACAAACCTGTTTGTGATCTTAATGTAGCAGTATCTGTTGCAAAATACAGTGAGTAAAAAAATTGCACTGCATTGATTTCAATTTCACTTTTTATGTGACCTAAATTTTAAAAAAAAACAAACAAGAAAAACGCCCTGAACTTTTGAAATGTTCTCAGCTTCTCAAAGCCTCTTCTCATATCTGTAAATACATTTTATTCTATTTATCTTCAAAGCCATATTTCATGAATTAACAACAAACACTTATCAAAGAGATCTTAAATTTATTAGGTGCTTTTATTGCAAGTTCTGTAAGACAAATATGTACTCAGAAAACCTGGACCAGTGTATCAGTTAATGTTTTCATATTTATACTTTTAATATATTCAATATTTTTATAAATTCAGATATTTGTACTATGGAATTTAATAGAAGTGTATCTGCTTGAAATCACTAAGCAATTTTTTAAAAAAACACCATAGCATCAGCTGTTTCCTACTACTGTTTATAACAGACTGTTTCATGGTAGGAAATGTCCTAGATGAAGTATTTTGTATTTCGATAAAAACCTATAAAACTTCAAGTAACTTTCCCCATGCAACTCTTGTCTCTTACATATGTGTAACACATCAGGTCTACCTAAATTGCTTTGGTGACTGCACTGTAACATCCTCTTCAAATAATGTATAATCTGTGAATTTATTATACAATTATAAAGTGACAAGATTTATTATATTTCAGGTGGTATTTTAAAATAATTTACTTTATCAGTCCATTTTTGGTCCATGTAATCACTTACATTGAAGTCAGTCAGTTGCATTACTAATCAAGACTTTCAGTAGCAATGCATATACAGGTAACTGTCTAGATCTTCACTGAATGTGCAATATTGCACACACGCAAATCTGAGAGACACTATTATGCATTTTACAACACAGACTTAATGGTTTATTAAAGCCTGCATACACTAGCTACAGTGTGTAAAGGGGATATCAGTCACACCATTTCGGATTTTACCATAACAAAACATTTATTCCACAGTGGGTTTTTTATTATGAAAATTCTATTTGTTCTTAAAATAAGTTCTTCCAAAAGCCACACAACCTAGGTCCTCGTAAAACATTCATGCCTATAAATTATATCTATTACTGTGTAAGAATTTTAATACAGTAGGCAGTAATTATTTTCAATGCCTCTTAAAACTTGTACCAAAAAATATACATTTTCCATAAAAACAAAAAATAAAGTATCTGAAAACATTCTGTGATAAATCTTGAAAAAGAGGAGGAGTCCAGTATTAAAAGTTAAATTCTGCTTTCACATATACCATTTAAATTGAGACCAATGCATAGTATTTGTACAGGTGACAGAAAAGTCTGACTCTGTCTGCAAGATTAAAATGCAACAGCAAAGTATGCAAACTTTTATTTCACGAGTTTCACTCTGTCCTTCAGAACTTTAAATTTGGGATTGTTATTCACTTTCTTATTAAATGTGACAAGGATCTCCTCTTCTGATTTGTGCTGCTGTTCACCAGCTACTGCGTAATATTGAGCTATAACCTGCACAAAGACAGAGGAATAGTTTTTAGTTAGTAATAATGACTCCACTTTAGGCAATAATACATTCATGTTACTGTATTAAAAGTAGCACAGAATCTATAATGCTATTACTTCTTTGCAGAATTTGCACTGAATTTCTTCCGTAAGCCAGTAAGCAATAAAGAATCCATCCTTCGGTTGACATTCTGTCAATTGATGTTCTGTTAAATAATGTCAAACCAGGATTTTACAAACTTCAGCACTACAGAAAGGAATTCACAAGACAAAAGGAGGTTAAAAAACCCAGCGTTATACCATACCTTTTTTCTTAGTTTTTTAATTGAAATTTCATTGTCTGGAGCCTGTTTCAGAACAGCTTTGATGGTTCCCTTCCAGTTGAATTTACCTAGAAAATAATTAGGTGTACAAGTGGTTAGTAAAATTAGGTATTGCCAGGTCTTCTTTTCTAGTATAGTTAGGAAGGTCCTGTCTCCTCAAGCTTAGAGCACGGGCAGTCAAATTCTGACCATACCACCAGAGGTCATGAATTGGCCGTTCCCAAACAAACAGTCTGTATGTCCAAGCAACAGCCACAGTCTGTCGGATGACAGGGAGAAGTAGGTTTAGCCAAGCATAAACTAAGGTCTGACACACCTGAAATCCAATTTAGGATTAACTGAGCAAAAATGGCGATATGAGAGGTTCCAGGAGGTCCAAGGCAGCTGTTACCCTTTCTCCTCTGTGCTGGCTAACATGCAGGGAAAAGACCTGCTCAGGTGAAACAAACACACCAGATTCCTCGCTGCCCAGTGGAACCAAATGCAGCCAAAGGCTGCCAGCACAGCAGAAGCAACAACTGAGAGCAGTAGTTCAGTGTCAGGTGTTAAGTGTAGCAGAGGCTACTTACCCTGAACAGGTCTGTATACTGAATATACATTTATGTACACAGCAGCACAATGAATTTCATGGTTTCCTGCAGAAGCACTGTATTTACATTCTGCATTAGGTCTTTTGCAAGATAGTTTTTTTATTAACTGAATTGTCCCTTTAAGTATACCTTTATTAGTTCCTGCATCTTCTTCGTTGTCATTTGTGTCTTCTGTTTCCATGTCTTCTGAAATGCTTTCAGTTTTCATTTTCTTTGTCTTGACAGGAGGTTCCTCTGGCGATGGAATTGGATAAACATACACAAAAAAATTTAAAACTAGAAGAAAAGTTTTGACATGACCTGAAGTTCTGTTCTTGTAACATGAGTTTATATTTGCTGAGAGGTTCAGATTTACATAAAAGAACTGTGCAATCACTGTTAAAAAATAATCTAATTTGTATATGTAACTTCTTACTTAAAAATTCTGCTTAGGTAGTTTATTAAGCTCTGGAATTGAGAAAAAGCTTCTTCAAAACAAACAAGAATATAAGTTGTATAATGAATACCTTCTACATGTTTATGTTTGCGTTTCTTTATTTTTGTTTCCTCTTCTACATCACTCTGATGGCCATTTCCATTTGTTTCGAATTCATTCTCCACGCTCTCCTTTCCTTTTTTGGACTTTTTACTCTTTTTTACCTCTGACTGGTTTTCTAATTTCAAATCTTTTTTCTCCTTCTTTTTATTCTTTTGTCTCTCTTCTTTTCGTTCTCTCTTATTCTTTTTCCTCTCAACTTTATCATCTGTAATTCCATTTTCTTCTGCCACTGTTTTTTCCTCAGTTTCTGCAGACTGGCACTCTTCCTTCTGTTGTGGTTTGTCTTGTTCTTTTACATTTGAAACCTTTTGTTGAAAAAGAAGATTATTACAATTTTTACGTGCCTTGTTTTGACACTGCAACTTTCCCCTACTATATAATTCATGAAGAACACTAATATCTTGAAATCAATTAAACTGCTTACTTCTGGTGACACCAGATACCTGAGAAATAGCACTAAATAATGTGTCTGATTCCTCTTTTAATGTTAATTAACGTCAAAGAAGAAATGTTACCTTACAACATATATAATTTCTAGTTGAAATAAGCATCCATGTATTTTAACATAATTGCTAAATGTAATTAAGGGAGTGACAACTCTTTGATTTACACAAACAAAACAGTACAGCAAGATACAGAACCTATTCCCAAATTTGCTATCCAGTTCCATCTTGGGATGTGTCTGGGACAACAAACCATTATTACATGATGTTAACAAAGGCACTTCTGGTTGTTTTAATTGTACTTTTCTCACCTTAATATATTTGGTCTTCTTTTAATATTCCTTGGCTGATAACTATTTTCTTGTAGAAGAATGAATGTATTAATGAAAAAGATAATATTTAATTTAAACTTTAGTTTTAATAATTACTGAAATGTTAGTGGGGCTATTTAGAAAGATAATAGATCTTTACACAAGGCAATTTAACACCAATATGGTTTTGTAAGGAGTAATTTCAATTAAATTTGAATTCTACTTAGGGATGTCCACTGAGTACATACAATTCAAGGTACGTATTACAAGGAATATCTTAAGGTTTTTTTTTAAGAACTCTTAAAGGTACACTGAAATGATCTGAGCAAGAAAGCTGTGCTATATATTTTACTTTAATGCTGTGCTCTAAGGACAAGGCAAATCGTTTTTATTTAAATAAAAGTTTTTCAGATTGAATATTTATTTTCCTTAAAAATCAGTTTAAGTCAAGAGAGAATATTTTATGACTTAAATGAAGTTCTGTCGACTCAGTATTAATGTTCCAGCAAAATAATGTACTTCAAATTCACTGTCCAGACTTAATGGTATGTTCATATCCTTTAAAAAATGTGTTTCTTTCCTTCCTGGCTCTTATATTTGGATTCTTCAGAAAAAATTGCAAATAGATTTAACTGGAATCATCAAATCAGAAACATGAAGCATAATCAACAGGGAAATAATGCCAAACCCATGCCTACACTCTTCCTCAAAAGAATGTGGGGGGAGAGCATCTTTACCTCAACAGAGAAATGAGCTTCTGTGACAGCTTTCTAGTAGCAGCAGCAGATGTAAACAATCAAAACACCACCCCACCAAAACATGCTAAGCTAGTAATGAAATAAAAAAGAATTAGGCACTGACGAAAAGGTCAGGGTGAGTCCACAATTTGGACAAAGTGGGAGGAATTTGCGTCACGAACTGGAGGATCTTCTCTCTCCCCACTAATAAAACAGGTAAACTAGGTGCTGTTAATTTTTCACTCCAATACACATAAAATTGGGGCCAATAAAGTTCTGAAAAGCTATTTGAGTCCATCTTAGCGTGCGCTAAGAGACTGGCACCAAAGATAGTGTTTTTTCCTTTCCTTATGTACTAATAGCATCAAGTTGAATTACCCTTCTGATTATCATGTCACAATCCTGTCACTGTGTCTGAGTTTTCAATCACAGCCCACCAAGCATTCACAACTACTTCAGCAACAGTGTGTTCCACAAGTAAGCAATTCAGTCTAGAAATATTACCTTATAATCCATAGTAACAATACGAGACAATGTTTCTGCTAACATCTACAAAAGGAGTCTGAAAGGCTTTCCTTCCAGCATTTTGGACTGCATCCTCCTTGTATGATGTTGTTGTACCTCTAACTCAACTTACCTTTCCGGTTGCTTCCGAGAAAAAGTCCCACACCTGATCTTGCAAAGTGCTGTCAGTAATTCTCAAACTGTTCTTGATCCAATTCTGTGCAGGGAAAAGACAGCAATAACTGAAAATGTGCAACTCTGATTTTCTTTCTTAATTACCATATATTTGGTTCTTGGGTTTATTTTTCATTTAAGAATCTAATCGCTGCTTCCGACAAAGATCTGGTTACAAGTATCTCCTATGAATCTCTCAAACCTCCTTACTAAATTCTACTATGCCTATGTACATAACACCTATGGACTGTTATGAGGCTACACCAGTATTTGAATTGCCTCACCAATAGCAATACCAAAGAGGTGAAATATATACGAAAGATAATCCTCAAGCTTTGAATACAACTGGTTATATTAATGTCCTACCAAACCTTCTGACTGTTCTCCCATGAGTTAAAACATTAATGATCTGATCTTATTTATTTGTGTACTGGATAGATGGTCATGCTCCTCAATGAGCATGACCTTGGTTTATTACAGAAAAGTAAAACTTAAACAAATGTCTCGATACAAACATTTGAAAGTTGTTTGGGATATTGCAGGAATTCCTGGTGAAATAAAGTCATAAATTTCTACTTATACTGTTTACACTATCAGCAACAGATCAACTTTTAGACGTGGAATTCCATAAAAAACCTAATATAAAGATTTTTGAATTGCATTGAAAATCCCAGGAAAGGTCATTACTAAATTGAACAATGAACTGCAAAAACTTTTGGTCTTCCACTGCAACATGTATTACCAAAAAGAAAGAGGATTCTTGACAATATCATTTTCCCTGCTTAGCACATTAACTCTCCAGAAAAATATTTTAACCTTCAGTTTGCTAGTAGCAATTTCCCCACAGCTCTTTTAGGTTCTATCTGAGTGCTTTGGAAGCAAGCATGATCTTCTCTCAGCCTCATAAACTGAGGCAGAAAACAGAGAGGAAAAAAAAAAAAGGGCAGCTTGTCAGTAATTCTTTACTGATACCACATGAAACATTTGGAATTTACTTTAGTGAAGAATGCAGTGTGGAAGATTCTATCAAAATACTGAGTAACAGGAAAACTCTCAAAATGGGATCTTGCTTTCACCAGGGAAAAACAAAGCCAGAGAAATAAGAAATCGTCAAATGTATGTCTAAGAATTTTGACATTCAATAGAAACTGGAAATAGGGAAAACAGAAAGATATTGAAAAAGAACAAGACTACGTAGGGAGATAAGCTTAAATGACGAGTCTCTGGCTTAATACCTAATTAAACTAACAAACAAAGAATCCTTTTAAGCAAGGAAATATATTTTACAAATATTGCCTATTTGAATTTCAGCCATTACACCATCTATACCAATGTCCAAATAAGCAATTTGTCCTTTTAACGTTTGTTAAAAGAGAGTAGCACTCCCTAAGAAAGTCTGTTTTTAAGTTAACTGCATGGATTACTGCAAATCTCCAGTAAAACATACCTGAAACTTTACTTTTTTTCTTGGAATGTTATCAAAGGCACGCATCTGCTCTAGGATGTTCCGCACTTTAGGGCTTATATTTGGCTTCTTCATTACTTCATGGATTTTCTAAATAAGAAAAACAGAATTAAATCAGAAAAGCAGCATAAGGATCAAATGGTACATGCAAAGTGTGCAAGTCTGAAGAACACTGGACAGGAATCACCCAGCACCCACAGCTGGTATAATCTGTTCACAGGAAATTTTCAAAATACATGAGAAAAAGACTGATCTTGGGTTTAATTACAGCTCATTAGATGCACCAAAGTTACCTATCTAAACATTTATACCTATACAGTAAGCAGAGGCAAGCACGACTGCTCACCAGGGCCTTCTGATGTACAAGTTACAATCTGTAATAAATGCATTTTAAAGTAAAGCAATTGCATCATTTTAGAGATTCTTGCAGCATGAAAAAGACCTTTATTAAGAAAAGCAATTGTCAACTTATTGTCTCTTTGCAAGCTTCTGGAGTTAATTGTGAAAAATCAGGCTTACTTTGATGCCACAGTTTGATATGCTTTTCTTTTAGCAGCAGTGCCAGCTTCAGCAACCATTAATCCCTGTAAGACTGCTCAGGATAGTCCCCTGCTATGGGTGTCAGCACGAGAGAACAGAGGAGATTAGGCCAGGGCAGTTCCTTATGGCAGTTCCTTCAACAGCACTGCTGCTTATGGGGAGGGGGAAAGGGTTGAGCTTCCTGGTACTTAAAGATGCAGCCACTGGACGCTGGAGTGTCTTCCTGTACTAAGGTTTTGTGGATGTGTTAAGATTATTGGAAAAGGGTGTTTGGTAATAATCCCTCAGCCTTCTGTGTAGGAAGAACTTACTTCTGAGGCAGGCTCGCAGTATTCATGAGCAATAGCACTCACATCATGCTGCCTTCACCAGTGTCCTCAAACCATGTTCAATCTCAACCACTACTCATCTTTGACTGTATTACTCATATATCTTGAATGTGTGTGTAGCTTAGCACCTTGTTAGGTTGTGTTCTATACAAGATGGAAATCAAAAAATCCATGTATAAAGGTGATTAACTTACTAGTATTGGGATTTTAAAAATGTGTTTCATTTCCTTCCACAAATCAATGAATAGCCTTAAGAGGGCAGAGTCTTGCACAAAACAGAAAGGGTATTAGACATTTCCATCCTTGCTGAAGCCTCTCCTGTTCAACATATTGACAAAATATCTGACATGAGGACAGGAGAATTTTCCTAATGAATGTGAAGCTATTCAGGATGAGGACTATAAGGACTCCAGAAAGATCTTAAGAAAATGAGTGACTAGGTAATAAAAGGGTGAATTACAGTCAACACAAATTCATGTAAAGCAGGATGCAAAGGAAAAGCAATCTTAACTTCACATCTAAAATGGCAGGCTTTAAGTTGATCGTGGAGCTTAAACAAAAGATCTTGGGTTTAAAATAGCCAGTTCCATGAAAATGCCAGCACAATGATCAGCTGCAGTGAAAAAACAAAACAAAAACCCAAAAGTAGATTAACTGACAAAAATCGGTTAGAAAGATACAAAAAAGGACACAGAAAACATCATTATGACACACAGTAAATCTATGGCTCATCCATATCTTGAACAGCATTTCACAAGCATACAGTAGAACTGGGAAGACTTCAGAGGACCAAAGCGATAACTTACATATGAGGAACAACTGAGCAGGCAGATTTCTCAGCCTGAAGCAGAGACTATGAGATGGGAATGGGTGCCTGACAGAGGTCTACAAAAGCGTACATGGCATGAAGAGGATGGACAACTATCAACACCTCTTTGTGTGTAACTGAGAAAATTACATTAAATCAAACTAGTAAGAGATAGATTCAAAATGAACAAAAGATGCATTTCTTACCAGGATAAGCAAAAGACCTACCAAGGAAATGCCAAAAGAAAGCTGGGGATATTGGGAAAAACAGATCTCTGGTTTGATCCAGTATAGCCCTTCTGGTGTCTATAATGATTATAAACAATCATTAGTTATTTATCATATATGTATATAATACAAATTTACCTGAATCCACTCCTGCTGTTTGGCATCTCCTTTGTTAGTTTTGGCTTCAAAACCTTTTCCACCATACTTCTGGTCTTCACTTACACACTTCACATGTTCCTTATAGTCATCACCCCTGAAAATACAAGATTTTTAGCCATAGGTCACAGAGATGCTTCAGTCCTTTGAAATATGAAACACTTAATGTTCCAAAAGGAACATTACTGCAAATTTCACTCTCTCTGCAGTAGCAGAGTAAATAACAGTTGTTAGATAATCAGAAGCTGAAAGCTCTGTCACTTATGCCTGTTTACTGTTGAGGTTTAGTTGTCCATGAGGTTCAAACTTGGATGATTAAGTTTGAATTCCGATAAAAGCGTGTATAATTTTTAAATACAAATATTATTATTCAGAAATAGCCACATTTAATTCTAAAAAAACACACAGAAAAAACTTGTATTTGTGACAACCCCTGCAGAGTGAGAAAAGCTATTTCACATCCTTTACCTACCAGAAATCCTTGCCACAATCCATGCAAGACAGGCACTGACAGTTTCTGCAGATGTTCACATGCTTTTCAACCTGTGCTTTCTTCACAGCTTCTCCACACGCATTGCATGTGAAAACTACCATGTTGGCGAGTGCTCAGGAACTTCCAGGAAGTGCGTACAACCTCCTTCCTCCACATACAAGCACAGCCCTAGAATCATAAAGAGATCTTATGGCTTGAAAAAAAAACACGTGGATGGCCGAAGAGAAATGCACCTGTGCATCCACCCACCCACAGACAGGGCAGGCAGTCCCATCCTGCAGGCACAGGAGCTCACCTCGTCTGACACCCTGAGCGCAGTGACCACGGAACCAGCAACCCCTGTACCCACCACCTCAACCTGGGAACCTGTATCCACCACCTCAAACCAGGAATGAGGAACCCCTATACCTGCCACCCCAACCTTGGAGCCAGTGACCCTCATACTCACCACTCCAACCCAGGAACCACTAACTTCCATATCCATGACCCCACCTCAGGAATCACTAAACCCCGTACCCACTGCCCCAACCTAGATCGCCGTATTCACCACCCCAACCCAGGAACCAGTAACCCCCCCATTACCACCACCCAACCAGGGAAGCAGGAACCCCCAACCCAGGAACCAGCAATCCCTGTATCCGCCACCCCAACTCGGGAACCAGTAACTAACTCCCAGCCCAGGAACCAGTAACCCCCACACCTGGAACCACGAAGCCAGTAACCCCCTTATCCGCCACGCCATCCGCCTCCTTTTCCTGGCACGACCTCCCCCCTCCCCCTCGGCCCTTCCGTCCCGCTCCCCTCAGCAGACCCGTCCCGGCCGGGTCCAGGCGAGTGGCGCTGTCGAGGGGTGGCCCGGCCACGCGGGGCGGGCAGATCGGTGTGCCCGCCACCCGCGCCTGGCCGGCAGCCGCTGCTGCCGTGCCGTGCCGTCCCATGCCATGCTGACTCTCCCTCTCCCGTTCCCGTTCCCTGCCCCGCTCACCTCAGCGCCGCCGCCTCCCGCAGCCGCCCCGCGCGGCACGTGCCGCCGCCCCGTGCCCGCCGCGCCCCCGCCCCGCTCCGCCCGCGCCTGCGCCGCCCCCGCCCCGCCCCGCCCCGCCCCGCCCCGCGCGGCGGAACGGGAAGGGCACGGCAAGGGAAGGGGAAGGGAAGGAAGGGAAGGAGCGGCGGAGCGGCGGCGGAAGCGCCGGTGGCGGGGATGGAGCTGGGAGGTGGCCGGAGCCGGTAAGCGCTGGGCAGGGCCGGGCCGGCTCCCGCCCCTCGGCCGCTCTCCCACCTCAGCCGGGCGGCGCCGCGTCCCCCCCGCCCGGGGCCTCGGCCCGCCCGCAGCCCCGGCCCTGCGGCAGCGGCTGCTCCGACACCGGCCAGAGCCCGCCCTCCCCGCGGGGCCCTCTCCTCTGCACCCGCTGTGCCTTTCTCCGTGCGACACCTCGAGCCTGGGCTCAGCCGGGCCAGGCTTAATCATACACATGTTAGCCGCTCCGTGTTCGGGAGCGGCTCTCCGTGCCCGCCTTTCCCGCTGGGAGACAGGCACCTGATGGCTGAGGGGCATTTCGATGGTTGTCAAAGTATTGACAACGCCCGTGGTGGGAGACGTACACAGAGAAAGCAACTGCTTGCCAAAAAGATAGGGTTTCTTTATTTTAAAGCCTGGTAGAAGACACGATAAGCGTTAATAGAGAAGAAACACAATGTGATAGCCCGAGTGTAATACAGCAGGAGGCAATGAATCACAGAGTTACAGGATGAATGAAAAAGTGGAACTTTTGGTGCTCATGGGAATTGAGAACGGGGCAACCACTTTCTGGTCGTGTTTAACCCAAGGTGGTCTTTCTGCTTCATTAGTTAGGAGGTTAGAAGTTCTAATTGTCCTAATAGTTGGAGTTTTCATTTACATTACCTGTATTTTTATCCTATTTAAAGAAGGATTTTTTTTTTCATTTAAGCATTGTATTGTATTAAAAAATTACTGTCTTTAGTCAGATCCACATGGGAAATATGCTTAGCTAGGAGAGCAACAAATAGGTCTTCAATAATACTAGTAGTATGTTCTCCCCTTTCAGTTTAGAGGGTGAGGAAACTGAGATTTACCTTTACAGATGATACTGATTTTGCAAGAATGGTGTGGTTTTGCCTTAGAATCTAGTTCTTGTCAAAGTTGTCTAAATCGGGATGTGATTTTTTGTGGTTATGGAGTTCAATTTATTGGCAGCACCATTAGATTTTTTCAGAAACTCTTTGTTGTAAGCAAAACTTCATTGAAATCAGTATTTCCTGTGTGTGTTGCTGTGCATCTACTGGTGAGCAATACTGTGACTTATCTTTAATCAGAAAAATATCATTAAGCTCACATTGAAGGTGTAAACTGTAGTCTCTTTCCTTTGGAAGCTAAAACATTGTGAAAATGTTCCTAATATTTTAAATTAATTTTGCAATTTAATATTTAAAATTCATCTTAGCATTTTATTTCATTGTAGGTAATTTAAGTGATTTTCTAGCATGGACACTGTTGCTAGCCATAGTTGTCATCTTCTCCAGCAGCTACATGAACAGCGCATTCAGGGGCTTCTCTGTGACTGCATGCTGGTGGTAAAAGGTGTATGCTTCAAAGCACACAAAAATGTATTAGCTGCTTTCAGTCAATATTTCAGGTATGTGATAGAAAATTCTTCTTTTTAAAATGTTAATTAAGTGCTCTTGGTTGAGAAGGGTGTTTTTTTTCTGATAGTTGCGGAGTAAAGTAACTATTGGGAGTATGATGAGAAAAGGGAACTCTGTGTCATACTATGTTGTTGGATTGTTGGCATTTTCCTGATCCTTACTTGCTTGTAGTGCCTCATATAATGGATTCAGGCATAGACCTGCATTCAGTTTTTCAGTTAGGAAAGATAACTGCTTAGAAGGGACATAGTAGAGTACATGAACAGAGCCGGATAAGGGATATAATTGATGAAACATTATCTGCTTCTGAATAATGTATATTCAAAATAAAATTTGAATATATATGTTATTATTGAATCTCTGTTTAGAACAGATTCTCAGAGATAACAGCTGTGTTTTAAAGTATACAGGTGACCCATTATGCCATATCACTGGTTTCTTTCCCTTCTGTACTGCCCTCAATTGATCCTCGAAATTTTGGAGGATACTGGATCTCCTAACTTAGTGTTTTACATTAGTTATGAATAAGCTGTTAATTCTGGCAGTTTTTAGACTTGTTTTTTGAAATACCTCCAAAGTAAAAAAAATATTTTTATGTTACAACCTGGGAAAAAAAGATAAGAGGTTCATTTTTCTCTTCGAGTGGTGTAATCCTGCCAGCGAAGTGCAATTATGCTCAAAGACTGAATTTTTTAAAGTAATTGAAAAAAACTAAGCACTCGACTCCTATTAAAATTCAATAGGATATAAGTGGCTAATTAATTTAGACTCTCCACCAAGATCAGTTCGTTAAAATTCTGATTTTAATTTACATAAGATGGTCTCGATTTCTGAAAGAATTTTGATATGGGCACTGGCTTCAGAGTAGCCTCTGCATTTCTAAAATTTAGGCATAGGGTGTCATTTCCTTAAGATTTAGAGCTCATTGATATTATGCCCACCTTTAAACAAAGCCTAATTTGAGAGTTTGGCCACAAAGAGGAACCATCAAGGTTGGGGCATTTCCTAGTGTAGGAGTGACCTGACCCCATTTGTTTATATGTCATTGTTTACTGTGAGAGTGTTAGGTTAGAGACTGGAGGTTTTAATGGGAGGGTGTGAAATTCTTGATTGAGACAGAGTATGAATCCACTAATCTAGGACTAGTTGGGAATGTGAAGAACTACAGCTCTGAATGTGAGAATACTTTACATCAAATAGTAAGTTTTGTGAATTCATTCACTTTAATGATTCAATGACAATTCAGTGGATATGGGTTGCAGTGCTGGCTTAGGCTTACATACCTGTGCTTTTCATTATTCCTTTACTTGGTTCTTATCTAGTGCCATTAAAAAAAGTACTTCTTTGAATATGAGGTAATAGATTGAAAATGATGTCATCTTCCTGCTTAATGTCACTATCCTCCTGTGTATTTGTGGAGAAATAACTAATACTAAGAAAATAAGATTTACTGATACAAGCTATTGCCAGAAGAGTTTAGCTGACTTTGAGGTCTGCCTTCTCCCTTTTACTAAAAAATTTCTTATGTCCTGTTTTATTTGCCATGATGAAAGGAGAATCACCATTCTGAGTAAAGCAGTTTTTGAAAATTGTCCATAAATATTCCACTGCACTTAATATGTGAAGAACAGTGGATAGGAAACCACAAGGATAGAGTGTCATTTCAAAACATTAAAAAATACAAAATTGAAACTATATAAAGGATCATTTGTTTTGATTTATACGACTAATATATGACAAGTAATTGAGAGGTTTTGAGGCATTTTGAGACTACCAAAATACAGCACTCTGGGTAAGACCTTAGAAGGTCAGACAGTCTGTTTGAGATATATGTGTATTTTTCTTATTAAAGTGTCTTTGGATTATTTCTGTTTGTCTTTGAGTATTTGCCTTATTTTATTAGGACCCTTTTCCAGAATTCTTCAGGCCAGAAGAACGATGTGTTTCACTTGGACATTAAAAATGTAGGTGGCATAGGCCAGATCTTGGACTTCATGTACACCTCTCACCTGGATCTTAGTCAGGACAATGTACAAGCTATGCTGGACATCGCACAGTGTCTCCAAGTGCAAAATGTGCTGAACATTTGCCACACCTTTTTAAAATCTTCTACAGCTGTAGAGCAAGCAGCCAGCATGCCTTGTAATACTGTATTTTCGCTGCAGAATACTTTGGCTACGGATGGGAGCTGTGCCAGTGACAGTTATGGGACAAACCTGCTGCATGAGTGCTCATCTGACACACAAGCCAGTAAAGTCTTGGCTGACCACCATTCTCATGCATCGCAGTCTGTTCATCTTCACACACCCCCGGGTGATGCACAGAAACAGCCACAAGACTCCCTAGATGGCAGCTGCACAGAGCTTCCATTTAAACAACCAAATTACTATTACAAACTACGCAACTTTTACAGTAAACAGTTCTACAAACAAAATGCTTGCTCTGATCATGAGAGAGGAGCAGAACCATCCTTTTCTTACAACACATCCACAGAAATAAACACAGTGGAGAATAATTCTTGCACTGTCAGTCACTCTGAGTGTATTCTGGAAACCTCTGATCATTTACCATCAAACTTTCTGGTTCAGCCTGTGAATGAAGCTGCTCCAGACCAAGATGCAGAAAGCACACTTATGCAGCCAACCAAAGAGATGCGGCTGAAAAAGGCAATTCACCTCAAAAAGTTAAGTTTTCTAAGATCTCAGAAATCTGCAGAGCAGCCACCTGAGCCTAAAAAGAATGACGGTAGGGTACCAGAAGTAATTGAACCTGTAAATGAAAGTACCACAGACATGACAAATGTCAGAGTTACTGATGAAAAAGAAGATGAAGATTTAGTGAATTCTGAGAATTTTGAACAAACTGTTGAAATGGAAAGATCTCAAGGTTCTTTGGAACAAGAAGGACAATCACAGACTCTTCAGTCACAGAGACAATACACTTGTGAATTATGTGGGAAGGCTTTCAAACATCCAAGCAATTTGGAGCTTCATAAAAGGTCTCATACAGGTACAGTTATCAGTTACTTGGTCTGCAGACCAAATATTTCAGTTAAAGAGACTATCTTGCAGTGTCTTTTGATTCAGAGATGCTGGTTAAGGGTCTACTTTCAAAAGGTGATGGTGGTTTTTTTTAAGTGAATAATCATACAGAAATAAAGACTGTAATACTGAATTTAGCTGAGAGCTGTAGAAATGTATTTGTTTGGGTGCTTTTTAAAAGAACATTGTTTGAATTCAATGAAAAATTTCAATGGAAACTTTATTTTTGTCTTGCATTTAGATGAGTCATTTCTAGTCAATTTGTCAGGTGGCCCAGAAGTTTCAGCCAGATAGCAATAAAAAGTGTAAATGAATAGGTGATACTACAAGTGTTCTAGAACACCTCAG